CTCATCTACCGGTAGCCGAGCATCATCCGGAAGAGGTAGAAAGTTAACCTAGTACAGCATTTGGTAGTGAAGGAAGATCGTTTAAAAGAAATGAGTGCCGTACTGAAGATGCAACATGTTCCTCTTTACGAGACGTAATCCTAAATGGGTGGGCAGAGGACAAAGCGGCCGAAGGAACTAACACCCTACTTCAATTTTCGGGATGAACTCTCTGTTTATGATGGTTTGTTGTACAAGGGAAGCAAAATATAATTCTGTTATCGCTCCGATAGGAAGTGTTGAGACACATTCATCGCGCTCACCTGGGTGCTAACCATACCGATAAACGAGCAGCAGTACCGACAGTTCAAACCGGGGATCACGTGGCGAACTGTGAAATGCGCTGTTCACACGAAATCCGGCAGACGAAAGAATACTGCATGATGTCCCTGATTGACTGTGGCATAAAGTGGCGGTGGATTTATTCTGACAACGGTGGATTACTATAGTATTATTTAAAAACTGATTTATTCACTACTATGAGGTGCTGGATTTACTCCCCTCTAGACAAAACAGGAAAAATGGCGTGAAGGCATATGAGACCTTAATATCTTGGTATCTAACTTTGCAAATATCAAGTGCTTGGGACGTTAAAAACTTGTTTTTTTATGGAAACTGTGGTAGCAGAGGCAGGAACAAGTTTCACATTGTGTGAGTTACGAGCCATCATGAAGCTTTTGTTTCTCTAGAAGAAGTGCGCAAAGGAAATTCACAATCAATAGAGGAGAAGTGACCTATCTACAACACTGTCAAAAGCTGGATATTTCATTTCAAGACTGGTCCTTTCAACATTCAAGATAAGCCCTGCAGTGGACATCCCCAAACTTCAACTGACCCAGCAACCTGCGATGCTGTCCATAAACTGATTATGGAGAACCGACAAACATCCGCTAAAAGGATTAGCCAGATACTGGACATCTCAAGGGAGTTTGGCAGGTTTGTTATCTCTACTATCCTGGACATATGTAAGCTTTCAGCAAAGTGGGTGCCGAAATGTTTGACCAAGGGGGTCAGTAACAAAAACGAGCTGAGTCACCCGAAAACATTTTGAGCCACTTTTGAAGTTGCACAGAATTTTTGACTAGGTTAGTGACATGATGAAATCCTGAAACCAGGGAACAGTCAGGGCTCCAGTATCATGGGACAGTATTATGCTAACCAGCTAGACCAACTGAGCGAGGCAGCTAAGAAAACACGCCGTGGAAACCTGACCAAAGGCCACCTTACCTTGCAGGACAATGCACCCATGCACACATCCAGTGTTGTGGCTGCCAAAGTGAACACCCTTGGTTTTCAGTCGATTCACAATCCTAGTTGCTCACTTGATCTGGTCCCGTCAGACTAGTATCTCTTACGGAAACTTGAAGAAACTTGAGGACATCTCTGACAGCATACGACCACAGTAATTAACAAACTCAGCTGTCGATTCGCGCGGCACGGAATACCGGAAGAACTGGTCCCCGACAATGGTCTACAAGTAACCAACGCTGCATTCCAGGCATTTGCAACCAGTTGGGAATACGTGCACCAGCGAAGTAGCCCAAATCGAATGGAAAGGCGGAGTCGGTAGTGAAGCAGGCCAAGCGACTGTTATCAAAAGCTAAACCTACTAGTGAAGATCAGTACATCATGCTAATGGAGAACCTCAAAACTTCAGTGCAACGCTTATATAGCCGAAGGACATTTGCCACACTTTTACGTCTAGTTTAGCCACAGCGTGAGAGGCTACAGAACACTCTGAGAAGACGTATGAGTACTCAGAACCGGTACTAAAACCGCATCACACGGGCACTACCTGACCTGAAATTGCGGGAGGAATTGTGGGGTCAACCAGTACCCGATGGTGCAGAGCGTTGGAAAAATAGTTGTGACTACAAAGGTCGATGCAGGTCATACGAAATAAATGTTGGAGGGAAAACACTTAGAAGATATCGAGTGCAGATGAGACGACAAAGGAGACAACGATGTGGATTGGGAGCCGAGCATTCCCGAACGTGGGGGAAGAAGACAACCGCGGCAGATACAGCGAATATGACGCTGAGTTGCAGTGCCTAGCAATATGGAGGCGCAATAACACGAAAAAGTGAGGATGTGAGGGGAGCGTCTTAATAGAGTGAACAGCTGGATCAAAGGAGTGAGATAGACAACCAATGTGAGACGGACATGACGGATTCGATCGCTGGACACAGAATGACTGATGTTCCAGCGGGTTCTTCACCGTTTATTTAATTGAATCGAAGGAGGAACCATGGGCAATGCTGGCTTTCAGCAAAGCAAATACTTCCATTTCATTACCCAGAAATAAGTGCAGGATAAAGAATTCTTTTCGGTAAACCCTCGTCAGACACAAACGTTTACATAGCACTGATTGTGTGATAAGCGTCAAGTCGTGCTGGATATTGACCTTCTGAACGGTCAAATCGATAACTGGACCATAGATAGTAGACCGTGTGCTAAAGGCACATTGATACATCAACTTCAAAAGTTCGATGTAAATGGCTAAGGTAATAACCGGATAGTGAATTGTCTGTTGGCCACAGTGTTAGTAGCAGCCGTATGAAAAAAAGACATCAGCAATACGGCGGTACGCAGTATCGACCACTTTGCTACCGCGCAACCACCAACCGTGGCACATGGATACTGAGAATGTCGCCGGGTCCCTACAAAGGCTCGAACCCGCGCCGTCGGATTACAAGACGGACTTGTGTTCATTAAGGCGACATGCCGGCTCGGCCGTATGAACCTTTATTTGTATACACGATTCCCGCTTCAGATGGTGGATGTAAATAGCCTCGGCGATGGACAAATTTCTTGCGGAATTCTTGCGACAGGCATGCAGGCAGTGATTAGATGACTATAAAGCCAATCGCAGAAGCTGTGTGGGCAGTATCAAGGAAGTGCGACGCATCTGAGCTATCTGGATACTTCTGCGCCTTCGTAAAACAATGCCTGGATGTGCTCGCGAATCCTCCGAGATAGGCGCCTCGTAGTGTAACCCACGGATCGTGCATCGCAGAAGCACGAGAACTGATAAAAGAGCATAGAACGAGTCAACAACGGCAGTCTATCTTCACAAGCAATGTTGTGGTAAAGGATTCTCGAGCGGGCCACAAAATACGTTTCCTCAACAACCTTGTAGGCATCGAGAAAGGATATCAGCGGCAGATTCGCCCTTAAATACTAAACGTATGAAAATCCCTGTCTTGGAAGCAATGTTCCTAGGAGGATTTCGTTTGTGTTCCTTCGGAGGCTTCATGACAAAATTTTTCGAGTAACCACTCTCTCTCTCTCAGTGCGTCAATGATTCTCCGTAGTTCTTCGTTGACGATATCCGGCGTGCGAACACTGCAAATGGAGGAACAGCATCGGCTAATAAGTGTCGTTAGTTATGGAAGCGAACGGACAATATACATCGAGGAGTGCTAAAACGTCGTAATTTTCACTGAGTCGAGTTGGCCGAATAAACGCTTGTCCCTGAATTACTGGGTTCTGCAACAACTATGATCGGTTCACTCCAGTGGGTTGGGATGGTCTCTTCCTTGTCCCAATAGGTTTGTCAGTGCATTACTGAGGATTTCACTCCCATCCGTAAATAATGCAGATAAGCGAGATCCCGGACCAGCAAAGCGAAAACGGATGAGGGCCTTGCTCGCGTTGTAAACATCGACCTTGAAGGGAGTCTACAGCATAACGGGCCTACGCCACCTGAAAAGGAAGCAGTGTGGGAGTAGAGTTCAAAAGAACTGCTTTGCACAACGAGCTAGGTGGCGCTCCTAATTGTGAGTTAGTATGGCGAAAATAAAGCCGTCTGTCTAATTGAAGTGTACATTCACAGGACCAGTGTTGCCTAAAAGTATCCTAAAGGTAACACATGGTCTTGTAATCTGATGACGCGGGTTCGAGCCTACGTAAGGACAGGGTGACCCTCACAGTATCCTTAGCCCACATGCGACCGGTGGTGCTTTCGCGGTAGCGAAGCATACGTACTGCGGATGGGCGTACTGCTGATGCGGAGCTGCACGCTATCGGGCGCGTCCCTACGTTGTGGATTGGGGAATGCCTTCCTTGTGGAGGTAACTGCAAATAAGTCTCATTTGCCTTACAGGCGAGATGAATAAGCAGTCGCGGACAATCAGCGGCAGCATCTCAGAGCGTGGGGTTTTGGGCTGGTCACCTGGTTCTCCACAAGAGGTCGTACGGCGCTGTGTCAAAGCCAATGTGACCGGCTATAGGGTCACTGACCACACACTTCTGTAACCGGAGGTGAGTATATAACAGAGAGCGGATGAACAACCTCGCTGGCCACCGGCTTTTCTGTGGACTGCTTCCGAACACAAAGAAGGCGAATGAGCCACTTGGCTGTCAACGGTCTTCGTTAATCGCCCCGCTGCCTTGCGGCTTAGGTCTTAAGACCGAAGGCTCGGGGTGGGGTCCCTTAAGTCAACCCTCTTCCTCGGCCTGGGCAACCGGGAAGATCTCTGCCCACAAAACACAACCTTTCAAACTTTCAAAATTCTCTCACGGACCACCCGTTTTTTCCACTTTTTGGTTGTTGTTAACTGTATTGTGGCACTACCGATTGTACATTGGTCAAGTGGTGAATAAGATAATAATAATATTGCTGATGCCCTACTAGTGTTGCAGAGTCCGAAGTAACTGCCTCGCGATCCCACATCTATTCCCTGGACACTTTGGGTTCACGACGCTCCCCTGTCAGTAAGCAGATTTCGCTTAGCTGGTATCTGGTAATCCGTCTGTTCATCCAATACTCAACAGAGCAGGGGATTCGCTGCATTCCAATAGGCTCAACAATCTCTCGGGTATCCAGCGCCAAGTACCGCAGATAAAAGCACCCGCATCGTGCATGGCACCTGAAGCCATTCAAGTGAAGTCTGCTTTGTTTGGGCTGAGTGAATTTGTACACTGAATGACCGAAATGATCATATTACTTTGGGACTCACCTGCAATATGACAACAGACTTGGGGAGTTTGTTGGACCGATCTGGAGTCGACGTAGGAATAAGCGATATGCCAGGGCCGACGCACCATGACACGTCTCTCAAAAGTTTATCCTCAATATGAAGTACCATCCCAGGTAAGACCAGACGGTCGACAAATTGATCCAATGATCTACGATGGACGTATTCAGAGTACTTCCGGCCAGAGAGAAGTATATCATCGATGGCGGATATAGTGGAAGTCATGGTCAGAAGGATTTAAGGACACTCGACCGAGCTGATATACTGGCAGGAAACGAAGTGGCTGAAGTGCAAACGCGCAAATGTATTAGTGTTGACAGTGATATGGCTTAAATAGATCGAAAAAGAGCTTAATTGAGACCAATGTGGGCGCATCGTGAGGCACGAATCGAGATGTGCAAAAAGCAAGCCGCTAACAAGAAGCAGCCAGTGAGTATGACGCTTACAGTATATACATGGATCGATTAGAAAAAGCATACACCCTCCTAACACCTTGGATTGTCTTAGACGTAAAAGCCAAGCGACTAAACCGAAAGTATATGGGACTATCCCCAGAGCCATAGTTTGAGATAGCACAAACAGCTGAGGAAAAGAAATCAGTATCACGTCCTTGAATGATGAGTTTGACACCTTGTAAGGTGGTCACGTTGGAAAGTTAAAATATTCCATAGCCAACCGAAAGTGAGAGTAGCGCCACTCACTGCAGACCTGAAAGAGTAGCTCACAACACATGAGTGGATTCTACGCTACGAACAATCCATGGATGTTTAGGACAGTCAGACTGGTGAGAATCAACCAAGCATCATCTCCATCAGCATCAATACACATTAACCGAGAGTGAGAAACACATTTCAGCTAATGTGCCGCAAGAATCAACCAGGCAAATATGGTACATCAATGGGAACGGCAATTTGCTCATTCGGTTAGGTAGAAAATGTAGCAAGCCAAGTGAGCAGCGTGCATAAGAAATCCCGGTAACTGTCTGTGATGGGCCATGGAAATCCCACTGATGAAGCATGTTTAGGGAACTGAGATTCCGCCAAATGAAATAATTTTATTTGGTTCATCGCAATTAAATTACAAGCGAAAAAGATGAGCTACCAATTCGGAAAAGCATAAGACGATTGTTTCGCCCAATTGGAGCTCGTCAGTGTTGGGCATTCTCTTTGCGCTCTTCCTGAGATCGAGCCTATAAACGCTAGTGGCTTGCACCACTAGCCAACAGCTGATGCCACTGTGCTAGGGGAGAGGATAGCCGACCATCACGGATTGTTATAACTGCGACATATCCAGATCCATCCTCCACCGCCAGGCAGGTTTACTGCCCGTACAGTGGTTGACCGTCCAGGTCAGGACTTCCCTTGCCAGTGCCGTGAATCCACACAGCATTTTGAAGACTGGTAGGGTTTAGTTTTTGATTACTAATAAGTGAACGGAGCAAAAGTGCGAGCTGAGCAGCAATTGCGACATTTATGTACGCGAAAAGAGCTGCAATCATGCACCACCACGCGAGAAAGACCATAGAGTAAATACTCATGTGGAGCCCCTTAGGCGAATACTTATTTAGACCACTGGATCAACATGTAGAGGTGACAACCACAGGACAATACGTATCTCTCGAAATGAGCAGCTGAAGAGCAGATGCTGTATCATTTCAGTTCAGATAAACAACTATGATCCGGGCAAACACGAAAATGTTATCCAAATTAACTACAATTGGCTTAAGCGATGTGTGCAAGTTTATAGAACGTACAGGTAGGCATTTATATGAGAAAGAAAAGTATTAGGACAAAATTGAAAACCTGAAATAAAATGACTTAGCATGCAAGCACGCGGTTAGTAAATCGAATGCAGTGTACCTACAAACGCTGCGCCGCTTCTGCCTACGTTCTCTGCAGGACCCGTCGTCGCTTCGGTAGTGGTCCCGAGTGGCGTCGCTCATGACTCACTAAGCCTGCCTGACTTAGGCACTCGCGACCGCATGTGCTACAGCACCATGCGCTTGATGTCGATGGAGTACAACCCTTGGGTGCTTGCCGCTTCCGCATTTGTCGCTTTTTCTCTGCATGTATGAGGTCATTCGCCCGCACTTCGGCAACTCCCTTCGTGATCAGATCGCGCCACGCACGCCGATCAACCGCCTTCGATTCCCATGACCTGCAAGAAAGATTAGAACGTGAGAGGCTCACTTTGATCATGTCCTGGTAGCGTAACTTTGGTTTCTCCACATCCCGCTTCCCAATACTCAGCTGACCGTATAAGTTGTTTCGGTATCCGCGCTGAATCCATACGCCACACATGATCGAGCCACCTCAGGTGTCTCAGCAAAAGTATGCAGTCCATTGCATGCATCCCATTTTGTCTTATTCCTTGGGGTTTGCACTGTATATGGGCTGTGTGGTTGGAGCTGTGAATGGTGTAGCGCAAGCCACCCATGGTCCCTCTGTATGCGCAGGCGTCCTGTGGCTGGCCACAGTGACAGGCAAATCCGAATGCCGCCTTCCATATATATATATATATATATATATATATATATATATATATATATATATATATATATATATATATATATATATATATATATATATATGCAGCAGCCCGCCAATAGGTATTGTCCGGGAGAAAGTAACGATTGCCTAGGAAATCCACTATTTTAGCGGTTAGTCGATTATAAACGATCATCGCATCGATTTCGAACGTTCCGGAATGTTCTAGTTTCTGCACGTGACTAAAAACCACCTGACACCACGGTAAAAGATTTGGGTTATTACTAACCTTGGTAGCTGACCTCTCGGGATATCCAGTGCTCGGGAAGTCACCGCAGGTGCAGGTGCTTGTGCGAAAGCATCAGGATGGGTTGCAAGTGGCTCGTCAAAGAAAACCACTTTGAGGCGGTCGATGGACACCGTTGTTCGGTGACCATTCTGGTCTAAAATGTTTCTGAGTCCGTTGCAGAACTCTGAAAGGGCCAGTGTAGGGAGGCTGGAGAGGGCGCCGCACTGCGTCGTTAGGCATAATATGACTTTCTTTTACGGCAGCCAGCTGTTAGCTCTCCGGAACGATGTCCATCCGTTACTGGGGACTCAGCGGGCGTGCCACTGTTTGTTTGTTTTTTCTTTTCTTGCCTTTTGTATTGCGGCACAATAGCTGAGGTGTTTTTCACCTCCAGCTAACGTGTAATGATGATGATGATGATGGAGGAAGACGTGAGTGCAGGTAGAGAGTCCGCTGTCTATTTGCACATCTCTAGTTTGTTCACGGGGCGGAGTCGGGCGTATTGGACGCATGCGTTGAGCTAGGGAGGACGCAAAGTTAAGCGGAGGCATACCCGACGATGCGGAAGGTGAAAGGAATTTTCCTGGTAACTTGAGGGTTGTGCCGTAAACCAGCTATGATGGTGCACATTGCAAATCAGCTTTGATGTTGCTGCGAATACCTAAAAGTGCGAGCGAAACGTTTTCGCTCCAGCCACGGTCGGAGGAGGCGCAGAGCGAGATTTTAAGCTGTCTATAGAAGCGTTCAATTAACGCGTTGGCTGCTGGGTGATACATCATCACTCATTCATTATACACATCAGTTAGAGGTGGAAAAACACCTCCGCTATTGTGCCGCAATACATGAAGGAAATGCATACATACATATAATACAATACACAAAGGAAAATAGATACAACAGTTGCATGCCAGCTGAACTACCAGCAACGGATAGGCATCGTTCCGGTAAGCTTCCAGCCAGTTACTAGGCAAAAAGAAAAAAATTTATTATGTTGTACCCTAGGAAATGAGATCGTAGATGGAGGGGGAGGCTAAAAGGGATGGGGAGGGACAAAGAAACTCACAGCACAAACGCCACTGAGGTCGGCTCCTTGCCATGTCAGCAAGTGTATCCAGCCAAACGTGTTCACCGTCTTCTGGACCCCCATCAGGGAGCCGTGACGCTCCAACCGAGGCTAGCTCAGAAGTGAGGGACTTCATTCCACTGGACCAAGTCATCGCTTGGCTACCCCTCCTCTTCTTCCACCCACATCCCCGGTGAGCAAACAACGCACGTCGAGGGAGTCGGTGGGCTGGCATGCGTAACACGTGGCCGAGCCATCGGAGCCTGGTGCGTGAAATAACGGTGCTGAGCGGTTCAGATCCTTTTCCTGGGCCGTAAACAAGGCGTCGAACACGTTCGTTACTCACGCGGTGTTCCCACCAAATGTGAGCTAAATTACGAAGGCACCGATGGTTGAACGTAACTAGCCTCTTCAGGTCCGCCGACCTTAGGGGCCAGGTTTCGCAACCGTACCGCTGCATTGTACACTCTACTCTTCAGGGCGTGAGTGATGTCGCGCCGCCACCATAGGTGGCGAAGGTTAGCAAAAGCACCTCGAGCTTTCGCTATACGGTTCAGCTATACCGGTCAGCGCAGGAGGCGATCCCTGCCAATCTTGGAGGAACGCTTTGCACTTCGGTGTTGCAAAGCAAAGCCCGAAGCGACTGACAGCCAGTGCTAATCTGTCCAGCGCGGCTTGGCACGTCTGGGAGCTGTCACAGATGAGGGCAATGTCGTCTGTATACTCCAAGTCAAGAAGTCGTTCTCCTGGGAGTAGCTCCACACCTTCTAAGTCATGTCCTGTAAATGCAAACTCCATGACTTCGTCAATAGCGAAGTTGAAGAGGAAAGGTGACAGCGGGCATTCTTGTCTCACACCGTTGGAGATATTAAAGGGTGGCGACAGCTTGCCGTAAGCCCTCACTCTGCCCGTGCTACGCGCATATAATGCTTGGATAATATGTACATATTTCTCGGGCACACCTTTCCTGAGTAAACAATTCCAAAGGGCACATCGATCAATTGAATCGAATGCACCTTTGATGTCGAGGAACACGACTAGGGTGGGTCGCCAATATGTGTGGCGGTGCTCCAACAACTGACGTAAGATGAAGATGTGATCGATGCAGCCACGACAACGACGAAACCCGGCTTCCTCCTCACGAATCTGGCTTTCAAGAGCGCCAGTCAGTGTGAAGAATTATGGAGGCGAGTAATTCGGAGGCGATGGAGATCAGACTGATTCCTCTATGGTTGCCGCATTCCGAGCGCGAGCCGCCTTTGAAGATGGGAACAATAACGGAGCGGCTCCAGTCGGTTGGGACAGTCTCCTGCTTCCACAGTTTCACTAGTAATTCATGTAAAGCATCAACAAGAGCAGAGCCACCAAATTTGAAGAGGGCTGGAGGAAGATCATCTGGTCCCGCGGCTTTGTTCAACTTCAAAAGTCCGATCTCACGTTCGACTT